ATATTCTGGACTCTGGGTTTCTTGGTTCTGTATTGTTGTTCTTGTCTTATTCCTCCTTTCCCTCATTGAGTTTGGCTTTTGGGTTGTATTGGTTGCGTTTGGAATAGGTTGGTAGTTTGGTTTTCAAACTTTTATTGCCCAGAATTTTACTCCTTCGCTTGAGCGTCACTTCTTACGCTCGAGCAGGCCTTGTGAACTCTTAGTACTTTTGTAGGCCTGCAAAACTACTAAGAGAATGTATTCTATGCTCGAGCGGTGTTTTCAGTGCTCGAGCGATGGTCTTTTGTCTAGAAAATTACTAAGAGTGTGTATGCTACGCTTGAGCGTCACTTCCTGCGCTGGAGCGGTGTCCCCCTTTTCATTGTGTCTTGGCGCTTGAGCGTCACTTCTTGCGCTCGAGCGGACTATGGGTATATCAGTTCGTAAAAGTCACTTTTTACATCACTTTTTCATCTCTTCATCTCTCAACATTTCAAAACCCTAAAGTTGAGACATTCTCTCTCTTGAACTTACTCTCTCTCTACAAATACACCAAGATCTACCCATTTCTCCAAACTACTCCCTTTGTTAAAAAGGTAGAGCTCGTATAGAGCTCCATTTTCATCCGATTAAAGGTGAGTTTCGGTGTTGTTGAAGTTTCTTTACTCTCTCAATCGTCTTCTAGCTTTGAGGTAGGGATTTTTTACACCTTTTTATAGTTTTTAACTTAGTTATTTGTTTTTCATAAACAATATTGTGATTTGGAGGATTTTGAACAAACCTAAGGTTTTGGTTCAAAATTGAAAAGAGGAATTTTTAAATGGTTGTATGGAAAATGGTTGAGGAAGTGTAAATGAGGTTGAGTTATGAGAAAATTATTGATTTTGGTACTTGGAATGGACTTTAGAGGAAGAGGAATTTTTGCCCTGAATGTCTCAATATTTATTTCGTATAAATAAATAAAATTAATGCTGGGAATGTGAAATTAGATGGATATTGATATGGATTGTGGAGTTGGATATGTATTATCGTTCACATCTTGAATTTTGGAAAGTTTATCTGTATTAGAGATTTTATATCTATTTAGAAATATTTTTTTTAGGCTATTGGTGGAGGATAGCTATGATTGTTGTAGAAATTGCATGTGGATTAGGTTAATTGAAACTAATTTCTCATCCATGTTCATTGAACATTGTTGCTCATGATTTTGATAAAAATGGGTGAATGTTGGAAAAAAAAGGTGTGTATCACCAAGTTAAGTTAGCATGAGTGTTCAGAGTGAAAGTCCCAAAAAACGTGCCTATACATGGGTGCCAGTTCCCACGGACGAAATATCCATAAAATGGAAATAGTAGCTCTTGTATAGGCTATGTTTACCTGAGTGTTGTTTGACAGTTTTCCGAGGACGAAATATCTGTGAAAGGTTGTATCAGTTGAGAATCCCCCTTGTTTTCTATCGTAAAGAATACGAATTGAGAATCGTGGTATAAATTGAGCATAGCATGATTTGGAGAAAGAAATGTAAATCGTTTTGTCATGAGCATTGTATACGCATTTCCCTCTTATATCTTTGTTAAAATTCATATATTGTGTTAGATTTTCTCTATTGGACTTTGGCTCACCCTACGTGGGAAAAACATTTCAGGTGCTGATGATATGCCTCCTCCAAGGCATTAGCTTAGAGGAATCTGGAGCAAGAGCTTCTTTCGTTGTGTTTGTTTTGTATAGCCAAAGGCTTTAATTGTATTGGACTTAAAGTCCACTTTTGTTGTAACAAAGCCTCATCTTGGAAATATGTAAGCCCTCGGGGCATTCTTTTCTATTTATCTTCCTTTCTTTCTTTTAACCTGCAACATATCATATAGATTCAGGGCTAGACTTTATAAATGAATGATGCAAATGCCTCTCTTTTGTATATCATATTGGATTTAATGGAGGATATCCCTATTATTGTTGTGGTCATATATTGCATATTGTGGATGAACTATTGTAATTATTTTAGGGGGTTACAGACAAAGAATGTGGGTGATAAACAAACTGTTCACGACGACAATGAACACAACTGCAACCGGGGTAAGTTCCCACAGACAGTGCCAACTGATAATGCAGTCTGGTTGGCAGAATATGGGTCGGACTGATCCAAGCAGTCTACAGGTCGACTTTCCTTCTTCTTCTTCTTGATTACACATGCAACAAGTCTAGTAGAAAGGTTTTGAAATGGTGATGGCTCCTTCCCGTGGACCATTCGACGATCAAGTTAGATAGGAATGTAGTCGGAATAATAACTTAGAGAGAAAGTTAGGAGTTATCAGAGAGAGAGAGTGTGTGTGTGTTACCTGTTTCAAACGTTTCTTAAAAGCTTCCTTATATCTCTTGTTAATCATTTCCTTGTCCATGCATGCTGTCTCATTTGCCGAAAGTCTATAGTCTACTTGTCGTCGGTTATGGTGGTTTCACCATGCCCCAAAGTGAGAGGTCTTGTTGTATTCAATGCCATGACAGCCTTATTTAATGCTTGGCATATGGGGTCAATGACTTTGCAGAATCTTTGTTTGCCATGTGGCTAACTCTCTACCTAACACCTGTCTAATTGCAACCGAGCTTAGACCACTGCGGGCTCCCCATTGGGCCTGCTGCTGAGCTTTACCTACTTGGCTTTAGCCAAGTGACTGTTTGGGCAATCCAAAAGAACCGTGAGTTAGGCTCTTCTGGGCCATGCCATTATGACTTTTTGGTCAATAAGTTCACTTAGTAGGACCTACACGTAAGTCTCTCATTTAATTACTTGTTTTCGAAGGTACTGGATGACCAGGAAACAGATAAATCTAAAAACCATTAACAATGCACTATTAGCCCTACTGCAATGAATAGAAGTATAATTCTTCAAAGTAAAAAATTAAAAATTAAAAATGTCGGAAAAATAAAACTAGAAATGTTTAGCAGTTGATTGATGCCTAAATGTTACACATTCAACCCGCTAATATATATTTTCTTAATCTATTTAATTATATTATTTTATTATTTTTTGTTATTCGATGTGTTTGTACATATTTTAAGTGTTTGTATATAAATTAATATAGATAATACTTTTAAATATTTTATAGATTAACATATTATAAAGTGTACGGTACGAAATTTGCATCCAAAAGTGATGAAAAAGAAGAATATAAAATAAAAAGAAAAGGAAAGAGAAAAAAAGAAAAACAAACAAACGCGGTGGTGGCGGCTAATCACCCCACCACTCAATTATATATAAATATATATATTATATTGTTATTATTATTAATATTACTATATTTGTTTTATTTACAAAATTTCTCTCCTATAAGAGGGGAGGCAGGGAGCCAAAGAAAGGGAAGAGAGAGAGGGAGCTCAACGGAGCAGAGGACTTCGGCTCATGGGATGAAGATAGAAAGAAAGAAAAAAAATAGAAAGGGATAGTGAGAGAGTAGTTTGTAAATATTAGTGTGTGAAATTATTTTTTTGGTCTTAATATAGAGATAAAATCTTGATCAAATAATTGGGGTAAGTTATATTTAGTATTTTTAGTTTTAATTTGAATTATTTTTGTGTAATAAATGTTTTATTCAAATCATATTATACAATGATTTTTACTGTTGTATATTAAAATTGTTAAACGAGTTATATCTAGTAAAATGAGCCGTACATCAAACCGTAGTTCAGTGATGACGGTTCGTGCTAAGCGAAGATGATTCGTGATTTTCTGATTTTAATATACAAATCCTCTTGACGATATATTTCTGATCAACTTACATCACAGTATCCAACTCAATGATTTTCTAATGACTGATTACAATTACTCCCAATCATGAAGTTAGTGATAGATTCAAAATGTTAAGATATTTATTTTATTTTGTTTATTTAATTAATAAGTTTAATTTTTACTCCAAGTATTTGTAAATAAATTTAACTTTCTAAATTAAATTATTCATCATTAGTCAATGTGGATTGATACCTGGCCTTAACCGTTATTCTCCAGAATAGTTATTTTTACTTAATTTTAAATTAAATATTTTGGTATGCAAACGACCATATCAATTTTTGGCGTTGTTGCCGGAGACTAAAAATATAATTATTTAATTTAGAGATTAATTTTTAAAACAAAAAAAAAATTGAGTTTAGTTTCTTTTTGTAGGAGAAATAGAACTTGAAAAAAAAAATTTAAAAATATATAAAATTTAAAAAAAATCAAAATTTTGATATCGTGGCACAGAAAGGAGATACCCATATTGGACATACAACTTATGAGCTATTTACCTTTGCTGGACACTTGTGGATTAATTACCTCTGTTGGACATATAACTTGGAGGATAAATAAAGACTACTGACTACTAACTTCTGACTACGAACATTTAGGGATTGTTTGAGATGACTTAAATAAGTGTATTTTTTGTCTTTTTACGAAAAGATGTGCAGAAAAGTAAAGAAGTGATGTGATAGAAAAAAGATAAAAAGATAGATTATATTGAAGTTGCCAAACTTAGCCTTAATTTATTTCAATTTCTTTTATTCTGTACATTTTTTTTCTTCTATGAGGTCTTATACCCCTTTTATTTTCCTCCAATTTAATTTATCGTGATTTTTGTATATTTATACTAATTTGCAGGTTTTAGTTGGTTAAAAAAAAAATTTAAAGAAAACAAAAACCAAACAATTTTTTAGTCGCCACTACCTTCCCGACAATCTTCCCGTGACAAATCCAAGGACCAAAATATTTAGTCAGAAAATTATTTCGGCGACTAAAAACCATACTTTTGGCGACTAAAATTTAGTTGCCAAAAGTACAATTTCTTGTATTGATTTGTAATTTTTCAAATCACAAGAAACAACTTATACTTTAAGCAAACCTCATAAAGTGTATCTGTAATTTACCCTTTCAGTGGTTTTTTTATTTCTTTTTTCATGTAAAAGCTTTAAAAAAACTTATTAAAAACAAAAAAAAGATGCTACAAACACAAAAAGCACATAAAAATATCAATGAAAGAATGCAGATGGGTGACACATACATAGAAATTTCACATTTCTTTCACCATTTCACATGTTTTTTCTCAAACAAAATGCAAACTTACAAAAGATGTTTCAACAAGCTGCTGTGGCATTCCAGGTATGGAATGAATGTAAATACGACCCGTTTCTTTAAATACATACATCTACCAGTGTTTGTACTCATATTTTAACGTAACAATTCTGCTACGAATATAAAAACCAAACACAAAACACAAACACACACAAAACATTGGCATTGTCATCTTTTGTTGTCAAAGTGTTATCTCTCAACTGCAGGTAGCAAAGGCGTTTATTCCTAATGGAATCTCTTCCATCTCCTTCCTTACAGTTTGAGCTAGTTAATAGGGAGCCTGAAAGAAAAATATATACAATACATGTGTATTTCATTAGAAATAAATAGATAAAAATTGGGGAAAAAATAGAAGAAAAGCTTCACCGTGTAAGAGTGACACAAACGCGAAATTTTGACATTTATCAATTGTTTAAAGTGTCATGTAGACAACATATATAGAAATTTTGATGAAATGATGAAATTAAAACTAAATTTAAAGTGTCGAAGTCAAATTATTCAAATTGAAACAATCGAGACAAAAATAAAATTTGAATCAAACTATAAAGAGTAAGAAGTGTAATTCACCATCTTTTTTTTTTCTTTTTTTTTTAATTTATTTTTTTACCTTTGGTGAATTTTTTCAACTTATTAATTTTATTCATAAATTACACTTTACTCCCTCAACTAAAAATTGTAGCAATTAACCCCCCTCATCTACTAAATTTTTTCAATTTGGACCTTCATGATTGTTTAAAGTGTCATGTAGACAACATATATAGAAATTTTGATGAAATGGCCAAATTAAAACTAAATTTAAAGTGTCGGGATCAAATTATTCAAATTGAAACAATCGAGACTAAAATAAAATTTGAATCAAACTATAAAGAGTAAGAAGTGTAATTCACCATCTTTTTTTTTTCTTTTTTTTTTAATTTATTTTTTTACCTTTGGTGAATTTTTTCAACTTATTAATTTTATTCATAAATTACACTTTACTCCCTCAACTAAAAATTGTAGCAATTAACCCCCCTCATCTACTAAATTTTTTCAATTTGGACCTTCATGACTAAAATACCCTTCCATCAATATGATAAATTACACTTTACCCACTTGAACTATCACCAAATATCACTTTCAATTTGAACATTTTATTTTTTTCATTTTATCACTAAATTAATTTTTAATTGTTTATAAAAATAAATAATTAAAAAAACTGACGGTGTTTGGGAAGGAAATTTTTTGGTTTTTTTTTGTTTTTTTTCACTAAAAAACAAATTGGTTACAAAATCAAAAAAAACAAATCCAAACAAAATATCACATCAAATCCCATAATCATTTCACTTTTTCTCTCACAAACATCACATCTAATCACAAAAAACCCAACTATCTTCCCAAACACAAAAACAAATTTCTCCAATAATATCCCACAACTAAAAAAATCTACAAAAAAACTCACTTCCCAAACACCCACAAAGCAGAACAACAATATTTATAAAGAAATCTAACAAAAAAATAAAAATTCATAAAAAATAAAAATTACATATACTAGTTTTTTATTTTTTATTTTTAGTGACTTTTTAAAAATTTTATTCACATATATTTAATTTTTAGGTCCATCTAAAAATTTAAAATTTGACTAAAATATGAAAAAATTTACTAAATTTTTTTTTATAAATTATAAAAAAAAAAACTTAAAAATTGTATTTGAAATTAAAAATCAAATTAGTTTTTTAGTTGAGGGGTAGATTGCTATTGAGTGATAATTCAAGGAGGTAAAGCATAATTTACTCCTAAAGTTAGGGTATTTCATCATTAAGGTCTAAATTGAAAAAATAAATAAATAAAATAGATGAGAGGGGTTAAGTGTTATAATTTTTAATTCAATAGGGTAAAATGATATGAGACAATAGTTTAGAGAGGGGTTAAGTGTTACAATTTTTAATTCAATAGGGTAAAATTATATGAGACAATAGTTTAGAGGCTAAAATGTAATTTGCCCAAATTTTATTTTGAAGTAGGCTTCTCTCCTGTCCTTTTAATTGGATTGGAGAGGTGTAGTTCGGCCCATCGGGCTCACTTTTGGATTTCGTTTCGATGATCCGAATCGTTCATATTTTAAGATTCGTCGAGCACATAACCCTTGTAAAAAATCAAATCGATCAGATAACAATAACCACGTGTTCAAATCAATTTTGTATGAACTATTTATTTTCTCACCGTTCATTTTTTTTTTATACAAAATTGATTCGAACACATGGTTTGCATTATCTGATTGACTTATTTTATCCAAGGGTGATGTATTCGACGAAACCTAAAATATAAACGGTTTGAATCATCAAACAGGATCCAAAAGTGAGCCTAATGGGCCGAAGAACACCTCTCTAATCCGATTAAGAACAAGAGAGAAACCCAGTCCTCTTATTTTAGGGTCTTCTAATTTAGTATGACCTAAAAGTTAAAAGTTGGTGTAATTAGCAAAGAAAAGAAAGGATAAATTACACCAGTAATCTTACATTTTGTCCCTTGTGTATTTTGATCCCAACACTTTCAATTGACACAGTTTTGACCTTCAATTTTAAATTTTGTGTTAATTTAATCCAATTGATAATGTCGTCAGTATTTTTGAATGAAAACAATCACTGAATTGGTTGAGGATCATTCATTGAGATTGGTAAATTTATAATTTTACTCTAAAAAATATGACACATACCACTTATATACATATTTTTCATTAAAAAAAAAAGCTAAGAGTTATAATAAGTTGGAATAAATAGAAACAAAATCATAAATTTAAGATCAAAATCAAATCGATTGAAATTACAAGGATCAAAATGATACAAGGACCAAAATGCATGAACTACTATCACAATACAACCCCCCCAAAAAAAAAAAAAATTATTGATAAAGATCAAAAGTACAAGAAAGAAACAATAGAGGAAAAGGTAAGTGAAAAAATTGAATCAAAGCAAAACTCTTCCAACCACGTTGGCATGATAAAGCAATGTATTTTTTCTTGGACGCTCGGCTCAAAACTCCAATTTTGAATTTTCTTGAGCTAAAAGTTCACGCTCAAAACTATTTTTTTCATTAGGACAAACTGCCACAAAATGACCAAACTAACCCCATATATATATGGTATATACGGTCAAATGACCAAACCAAACTCTTTCTCTCTCTCTCTCTCTCCTCGCGAGTCTACCGTCATTGTCTCATCGTCTTGTCGTGTCGTTCCCTCATCATAGTCAAATTGCCAACGATTTAGATCTACATGTGCTATCGGTGGCTCATTCCCACTCCAGTGGTTCGCCTCTGTACCGTCATTGACGTAGCTTCTACTCTAGAACTTTCGCCAGAACCACCATAATAGAGAAGGAGATAGAGATGTTTAAATGAGAGATGTTCGAAAAGATAGAGAGATTCGTCACCAAATCTGTAGATCCGCCTACTCTAACCCTAGATCTAGATCACTACCACCACGCCGCTACCATCACCACTGCCCTTCCTCTCTCTTTTTCTACCTCAACGATCAGTCTCTCTCTTTCTCTCTCTCTCTCTCTATATATATATATATATATATATCACATTTGTATTTATGGAATTTGTAGATTATTGTTCATCACTGATCTCAAATCTGCGAAACCCACAGTAGATCTGAGATCTAAACACAACAGCATATGAAAATCTTCCCCTCTCCTCTCTCTCTTTGTATCTGATTTTTTTTTTTTTTTTTTTTTTTTTTTTTTTTTGTTATCTGTTTAGATTTGTTGTTGTTGTCGTCGTTGTTGTTGTATGATGATGATGATGATAATGGTAACAAATAAATAATTTTTTTGACATAAATTGTTTTCAACAGATAGTGGCTAATCCTCATATCTGTTCAAAAAACTAAACAAATAGGTTCAAAAAAATTGTTATTGAACAAATTTGAACAAATTGTTGCGTTGATGTATTTTAATAACAAAGATTTGAACAAATAAATAGATTCCAGCGAAAGAAATTGAATAGATAATGAAATTTAGACAGGTATTTGAACAGATAGTCAAAAAATTTAAACAGATATATAAAGTTTGAACAGATAGAAAATAATTTGAACAAATAGATATAAATTTGAACAGATAGTCAACAAAATTAAACAGATAAAAAAAGTCAACAGATAAATTAAGGGTAAAATTATAAACAAAATGTCTTTCAAAACAAATAAAAGGACTTCTCACCAAACTATTTCACAAAGGGTGGACCTCTCACTAATAGAAAATATCTACTGGACCTATTACCTTATACCTCCCTTAGATTAGATTTATTAGTAATTTTCTCTTTTTGCTTTATCTATGTTTTACAGTTTTCATGTTTTTAAAAATAAAAACAAATGAAAAATTCAAAAACATTCTTGTCAATTTTGTGCCAAAAAAATTTCCAAAAGCACGTGTTATATTATTATCAATAATGCATAGCTTATTATAAGACTCACCCTAGCTTCAAAGATGTGTCGGAGCAATCATCCTCTGGCGGTGGAGCACTGTTGCAGCTGCAGCCGTTGGTGATGGACTCCGGCGACTGCCCTTCTTCCGGTACCAGATTATCCGACTCCGCCCCAACATTAGCCACTCCCACTCCCCACTTTCCTTTAGAAATCATTGTCATCTGCAATAAAAATATAAAATGAAATAAAATACAAATTGCATAATTTCTTTAAGTTATATATCATAAATTAAAAATAAATAAATAATAATTAATTAAGGTAGCATAAAGTTTCTTACCTTCTGTTTCAGTTGCTTGTTCTCTTCAATCAACTGAGCACCCTGCAATGTATTTTTAAAGCAAGTTTGAGGAAGAGAGAAGATGGTCATGTGTGGATCTGGTTGATTTCTAAGTAACCATTATAAAACAAGAAGTTTAAATTTAAAGCATATATTTAAAGCAAATTTTCGAATATTTTTGAGTATATACAGAAATTATTTATATATATCTATATATATAAATGCTCAAATGCATGGAAATAAAAAAGGTAAAGTACCAATAAATCCCAAAATGTGATTTTATAAATTGTTCAGTCATCCCTTTTTTCTTATGAACCCAAAGGTCCCATTAAAGTAGAAATTACATAAAAAGGTAGTCACTTGCATGTTTGGATTTAATTCTTTTAGGAATAAAAGTGAGTTTCGCAATTTGCACTATAGAAGTTTAGATTTTCCCTCATTCTAAAACAAACCTCACATTACGAACAAAAACCTAACACTTCAACATAACACACTAAAAAACTCATTGGTGTACTTTTCCCAAACATAACGTAACACTCAGAAAAAACTCTTTAAGGTACTTTTTCCAAATGTAACACTCCAATACAATACAATACAAAAAAAAAAAAAAATTCGTAGTATATTTTTCCCAAACATAACACTCCAATATAATATAGTCTAATGTAACACACAAAAACGCTAAAAAAACTCCTTAGTATACTTTTTCCAAACGTAAAACTCACAATGTGAAATTATATATTTGCCCAAAACTTACTGAGGAATATTTTTACTCTTTTTGAAATGGTTTGAAGAATCTTACATTTTTTTTAAGTGTCACATTGGAGTGTTACATTTAGGAAAAGTATACTAAAAAGTAGTTTTTTTTTTTTTTTTTTTTTTTTTTTGTGTTTCATTAGAGCATTGTATTTAGAAAAAGTACACCAAAGAATTTGTTTTGTGTATTACATTAAAGTGTTACATTTAGGAATTTTTTTTAGTGTTATATCGAATATTACATTTGAAAAAAATACATTAAAGAGTTTTTTTTGTGTATTACATTAGAATGTTACACTAAGAGATTGTTTGGAGTGTCCTAAATAAATACGCTTTTTGTCTTTTTGGACTAAAAAGTTAAGAAAAAAAAGATTGATGTTTGGGTTAACTTTTTGATTTTTTACGAAAAAATATGTATTAAAAAATTATATAAATAAGTGTATAGGAGAAGTGATGGAAAATTGTTGCCTCCTTTTCAAGCTTGAATTGGACGGTGTTGTTCAGCCCGTGTGGACCCACCACGGGTCCCGTTTTGCTAATCGAAACTGTTCAATATGTAAAACTCGTCGAGTACTATATGCTTGTAAAAAATCACGTTAATCGGATATCGATAGCTATCTGATCGTGTTAGTTTTTTTGTCAACTGCTAACTATAACACTATCTATTGTTTATACAAACTGATTTAATCATATAGCTATCCATATCCGATTAACATGATTTTTTTACAAACATATAGTACTCGACGAGTTCTATACATTCAACGGTTCGGATTATTAAAACGGGACCTGTAATAGGCTCCCACTGGCCGAACATTACCCTCCAATTTAATAAATATATATACCTAATTTTTTTCCCCCTTGACAGCCTTTTCATCAATTCTCAATACCAGTCACGTCTTTGTGTTAAAATATGTAATAAATTAATTTTTTTATATTTTTAATTTGTGAATAGTGATACATTTTTAACTTTTTTTAGTAACTTTTTGACTTTTTAGATTTAGAGATGCCAAATTAGATCTAAGGAGTTTTTGTATGTTATATTAGAGTGTTACACTAAGGAATTTTTTTGGAATATTATATTAGAGTGTTACATTTAGAAAAAGTACACTAAGAAATTATTTTTGTATGATATATTAGTGTGTTACACTAAAGAGTTTTTATGTGTGTTACATTAGAGTGTTACTCTAAAGGGTTTTTTTGAAATGTTATATTAGAATGTTACGTTTGGAAAAAATACACTAAAGAGGTTTTTTGTGTTACATTAGAGTATTACTATAATAAATTTTTTTGTGTTACATCAAAGTGTTACACTAAGAATTTTTTTGGAGTGTTATATTGAAGTCAAGGTTCTAAATATCGGCCGGTACGCGCCGTACCGGCCGGTTCGTACCGGAAAATGGGAGTGCCGAGTCGGATACTCACCGATATACCGGCGAGAATGAATTTCACGTCCGTAGCGGCCGATTCCCGATACGTATCGGCCTGAATCCGATACGTAAGCGATTTCTTTCCGATACAGTCCGATACGGCTGAAAACGAGCACAGCTTCTTCGATTTCAAGCTTCTCTCTGTTTGTATATGTGATGCATCTCGGCTTCCACCAGTGAAAACACCGAGCAGCTCAACTGCGTAAAGTCTTGGCAGTTCGACAGTACAAAAATAGACGATGCAGCTGACCTGTTGTGGGTTTGGATAGTGATTGCAGTGATTTTGGTTTCTTTGATATGTGGATTCTCACTATGCTCTGTTTTTTTCTTTTGGTCTTTTGGCCGAAGAAGTTAAGTATGGTTTTGCTTTTTAAGTTGTGCTCCGTTTGTTTATAATTTGTTTTTGTTTTTTTGTTTTTTTTTTTCTGTGATTATTTTTTTAAATGCACATAATTATATATATATATATATATATATATATATATAATATTGAGGTTGAATAGAACTCAGGAGCAATTTTTACATAATTTTAAATGCACAAAAGTTCAAAAGTTGAATAGAACTCATAATTTTATAACTTAGGAGCAGGTTTGTTCTCTCATAATTTTATATATATACACATATTATAATATATTTTATATATATTTTAAATGTACATATGCTCAATATATATATTTTTTATATATATTATTTAAAGAGATTTAATCTGTCAAATTTTTTATTTCAGATTTTTTTTTAGGAAAATTTACCCATAAGTCCTAGTTTCTGAAACGTTGAACCATTTAGTCCTAAAAGTTTTCTTATGCTCCATTTAGTCCCATTTTTACATCAACATGATGTGAATGATGTAAATGATCTGATGTTTCATTCTATAATTTCAAAATTTATTGAAATCTGATGAACATTAGATGTTTTTCATCCTATATTTTCAAACATTATTGAAATTTGACGAACATTAGATGTTTGAAATCCAATGTTTGTAACATGACTCTGATGTTATTAACATTGTATCTGATGTTATTAACATTGTAATGGGACCTTTCAGTCTATAAGAAAACTTTTAGGACTAAACAGTGCATAAGTTATTAATTTGGGATTTATTGGTGCATCCCCCTTTTTTTTATTATTTTAGATTTTTTAATCTGTCAAATCTTTATTTCAGATTTTTTTTATTATTTTAGATTTTTTTATTACAAGTTTTAGAGTTGTTGATTTATAGTAGATTGTTTGTATGCGATTATGACCTAAGCGAATGATTTATTTTCATGTCCCTCTTTCTCTTATTAATTTGTTGTGTATGTGGAAGTATTTCATTGTTGAAAATAAGTAAAAAACTATTTCCACATCAATTTTATATTAAAAGTTTAACATATATGCCAAATAAAAAGTTGAGACTAAAATAAATATATATCAGTTGAAAATGAGTCAAAAAAGTACTTCTACATATCAAAATTTTGATTAAAATGTGATAAATTAAAGCTAAAAGAGTCAAAAAAATGCATAAAATGAGTTTTAGATGGATTGTTAATGATTTTTGAAATTTCACAGCCGCGACGCCCGATACCCGATACGTATCGGTCGATACTACCGATACCGATACTCCGCGATCGATACCGTTACGTTACCCAATACCGCGATTTAGAACTATGATTGAAGTATTACGTTTAGAAAAAGTACAGTAAGTAATTTTTTATGTATTTAAAAATAAAAATAAAAAAGAGTTTTTTATGTGTTACATTAGAATATTACACTAAAATTTTTTTTGAGTGTTACATCGGAGTTTTACGTGTTTGAGTATTATATTGGAGTATTACAGTTTGAAAGTATACATTTGGCCAAAACTTACCAAGTAATTTTTGTATTACTTTTGAAATGTTTGAAAAATACCACATCCTTTTAGAATGTTTGAATAATCAATATTTTACGTCATTTTTGTATTTCTTTTAAAATATTTTTCAAATAAAAAAGATTTTTATATAAAAAAGAAAAAAAGGAACACAATAGAAATATGGATATAACCGTAAATCTAATTTTTAAATAATACATTAAATCTACTTTTTTGAAATCAATGAGACTAATTGGTTTATAAGAAAATCTTTAAGACTAAATGGATCACCATTCCTTAAGATGGGATTTATGAGTAATTTTCCAAGAAAGAATCAGTGTTTATTTGGAATCAGTCTTTTTTTTTCTTTTTTTAATTTTAAAAACAAAAACAATTATAAAAAAAAAAAACTCAACACCTATTGTTTTCATTAGTTTGCAAAATTATTATTAAAAAAAGTTTTTGAAAACAACTTTCTAGTGTTTCCGAAAAGGTGTCTGTTTGCTAAATAATTTTTATAATTTTCAAAAAATTAAAATAGAAAATAAAAACAATATCAAAGGAGTATATTCATCACTCAAGGAAAATGAGCGGAAAATGACAAACTCAATGTCAAACTACTTTGGATAAATGAACTTGAATCAAACTGCAACCAATGACCTTGACATGGTGGCAAAAAGAGTGTTTTTGTTTTTGTTTTTGTTTTTGTTTTTGTTTTTTAACCAAAATAAAAGAAATTTTTTTTAAGGCCATTAGGCCAGAGGTACATTTTTTAAACTTTTGGGTTAATAGACTCAAGTTTAAATTTTTTTGGGCCAAAAGGACAATCTATCCAAAAGACCTATCTGTTCAAAACTTATCCATCTGTTCTATCTGTCCAAATATCATCTCTCTATTCACCTATCTGTTTAATATCAGTAATCTGTTCACCTCACTATCACCAACCGCCATCGTTGTCATCCTTATCACTAAAACAGATTAAAGGGCAAATTACACAAATAGTCCCTATAGTTTGAGTCTTGTGTCACTTTGGTCCTTGACTTTTCAATTGTAACACATTTGACCCAGAATTTTGAATCTTGTTCCAAATAAGGACAATTGAATATATAATTAAATTTTTCAAAGGTAAAATTGTCAATTTGATAAAATATAAACTAATTTGACAAAAATATCAAACAAATATTTTTGAATTTTAAAAAATTATTTCTACCTACTAAAAATAAAATTATGTAAAATTGATAAATCTTTTAAACATTTTTTTTTCCAAATTAATTTTTATTATGTATTTGGATGATGATCGTGTAAAATTAATTTTAAAAAATTAATCAAGTAATTTTTATTAATTTTACACAATTTTATCATTGATGGATAAAAATATTTTTAAAAAAATTAAAAATATTTTTTTGACATTTATTTTTGTCAAATTAGTTTATATTTTATCAAATTGACGGTTTTACCCTTGAAAAATCTAATGATATTTTCAATTGTCTTCATTTGGAACAAAATTCAAGATCAAATGTGTTACAATTGAAAAGTCAGGGACCAAAATGACAGAAGTCTCAAACTATAGGAACTATTAGTGTAATTAACCCAGATTAAATCTTGAACAAAATAATAGATGGTCCCATAGTAATAAACTTTTCACCAATTAACCCAATTTTTAACTTGAATGACATACTAAGAATTAAAGGTGAAGCTTAAGCTACCCAAAAAAAAATCCCAAAAAGAGAAATTGGCAAGATACAAACAAAACAAAGAGAAATGAATTCACATACCTTGCTTTGAAGGGTGGCAATTTCATTCATGATTCGTTCTCCCTGAAATGATTGGATATCACATATTATCTATGAACCCAACATAGCATTAATTATGCAAAACAATCATCTTATTTGGTTTAGTTTTTAAATTTTTTTATAAAAAAAAAATCAAAAACTAGTTTATTCAATAAAATTTGAAGAATCATTCAGCTTGTTTAACAAAATTTCTAAATATCTCAAAACACAAAACAAAAAAAACAAAAACAATGGATTATCAACCCTTCCTATTGTTCTAATTCGTTGATTAATTTGTATGATCACCGAAGGACTTTTTTTACTGATTTCTTTTATTCTAATAGCATTTTTATTTTTTTTTTATTTTTTATTGTTTTATCATTAAGATCACTTCTAATTGTATTGAATAAAAATTTTGTTTTATTTTCGAAATCCATTCTTCCTTGTTTTGAAAATAAAAAAAGATCCTTTCAAATTTTGGCTCCTATTTTCAAGATTCACTTCTTAGAAAATTAAATTTTTTTATTTTCCATATTTTTTGATTTCACTAAATTTTTTTAATAATCTAAGCAATTTTTTTTTTAATTTTTAGATACAATTAACACAAATACACTTAAAAAGTATAATATTTGTGAAAAGAATCTTTAGAAAACTCACCAATTACCAAAAATATAAAAATTCAATATATTTTTCGTATTCTTGTGTATTTATTATTTTTTAAAATATTTTTTGTAAATATTTTACTTTTTAAATACATCTAACTAAAGTGAATCTAAAAAAGTAAAAAATTGCTTAAAATTTTTAAAAATAGTCACTAAAAACAAAAAAAAAAACACAAAAAATAAAAAAAACTCAATTTTTGAAAAATTAAAACCAAACACACTGATTATTTTTATACGATTCTCCTCTTTTTTTTCAAATAAAAGTAATTTTTGAAAACTCTAAAAATATAATTTTAGGATGCGCTTGGTTTGAGTGGAATCATGATTCAACACTCAAAGATAGCGTTTGATAAAATTTTCTAAATATAATTTGAGAATATAGTTGTATTTTGAGTTTTGAAATTATGATTTAAGTGTGAAAATTTTGTTTAGTGAATGAGTTTTGAAAAAAAAATTGAATTGAATGGAAAATTTTTGATGTGACATATGATATTTAATATAAAAACTTACAACTCATAACCAAACACAAAATTCAAAATTCTATTTAAAGCTCATAAAAAAAAAATTTAATTCTGAAATTTTATTTATTTAAAATATAAAAATAACAAGTGCCAATTGTTATATATATATATATATATAAAGAGCACTTTTCCGGTCAACCAGCAGGACGTCCAAGGAAAGACCGGCTAGCCCAAATTTTCAACCTTGGAAACAGTTTTCAAAAGTGGGTATGAAATTAATTTTTAAAAACTGTAAACAAACAAAACACTCAAAACAATGGATGAAAATATGTTTGGAGAATACAACCAAACACGGCCAAAATTTTTAAAACACTTTTAAAAATTCATAATCAAACACACAACTCAAAAATTAATTTCAAAACTCATAACCAAACACACAACTCAAAATTCAATTCAAAACTATTTTTAAAACTCAAAATCAAAATTCTTTTCAAAACTCTATTTAAAAATAAATTTTAAAAAAAACAAATTTAAAACAAAAATTTTTTATTTTGTCATTTTTTTAGGATAAATATTTTATATTTTAAATATTTATTTATTTATTTTAATGTGCACTACATTTCATACATTTTTGTGCTATATTTTTTTTTAAATATTAAAAATTTGAAAAATATATTTTTTTATTTTAAATTTTTTTAAAATTTTTTATTTTAGATATTTTATTTTATTTTATAAAAAATATTTTTAAATATTTTAATTTGTTTGTTATGTGTTTGGTTACAATCTGAAAGTAAAATTTTAAAAATAGTGTAGAGTTTCAAGTTATGTTTTTTGTTGAGTTTTGAAAATAATTTTTGAAATAAATTTTAAGTTATGTATATAGTTACGATTTGACTATGAAGTTGTGTTTTGTGTTTAAAATATTAAAATTCAAAATTAAAATATTTACAAAATAAAATAAAATATTTAAAAATATTTAAATAAAAATTATATATTAAGAATTAAAAAAAATAAAATTTTCTTAAACATTTTTTTTAAAAAAAATTCAAAAAATCAAAATACAAATCAAAATTCACAAACTCAAAACTCAAAATACAACTCAAAACTCTATTCAAAATTCAAAACTCAAAAACTCTTTTCAAAATTCCTTTCAAAACACTTTTCAAACTCTTTTCAAAATTCATAACTAAACAAATTTTCTATTTTCAAAACTCAACTCACAATTCTACACTCAAATTATAACTCAAAAAAAAAAAATCACAATTCCAAAACTAAACCAAACGCTAACTTAGATTTTATTTTCATTAAACTAGTTTCTATTTAAAATAAGATGGGAAAAAAAAAATTTGAACATAACCAAAATAAGTGACTATTCTTACAAAAAAAATTTATTAGACTAATGTAATAGCGACATTTTTATAATTAAATGTCATTTTAATTGACTATTGTTTTAAAATGGTATGCTCAAATGCATTCACTGGACATAATTTTCGTATATTTTTTTGAGCATTGATAGAGAGACCCCCTCTAATCACCACCCCCACAACCCCCACACACACGTGGCGGGTGGTGATTGGAGAAGGGGGGAAAAAAAAAAGCAAAAGAAAAAGTAGCCAATCAAAAAAGAGAGGGGGTCAAAGGAGGTGAAGGGAAAGGGAGTCTTAAACATTTTTGTATTTTTTTTTATGTTTATAAATCATAGAGAAGGCTTTTCTGCTGTCCAAAAACTGGATAGGAGGATTTAGGATTTAGCTTGTGCAGCTATGGTCTCACTTCGAGTCTATCTTGATAATCTAAATCATAAACTTATAGGACTTGCCAAGTAGATTATTTATGTAAAAAATCAAGTTGGTTAGACATCAACTACTTGATCGGATCATATTTCTCCTTTAAAAAAAAATAAAAAATAAAAAAATAAACAAGAATGATTATGAGAATAGGCCGACCATTATAACCAGATCATGTAGCTACTGATGTCTTTGCATAGTGATTTACTCGATGAGTCCTACAAGTTAAAATGTTTAAATCACCAAAATAAACCCGAAGTGGGCCCATATATAAACCCAAGCTGGACTATGGAGAGAAGCTTGGTGCATACATCATTAGTATTAATTTTAGTATACTTTGGGGTAATATATATAATTAAAAAAAAAAATAAATAAACAAAAGAGAAGACCTTAGTCTTAAGCACACGGCTGAGTCCAGATTCAAGCATTCTTTCTAACTGCTGCAATTCTTCTATATTTAGCCCTTGAAGGTCATCTCCCCTCATCTGCCTGTTTCAGAAAACCATATTATTAAATCCATTGTTACAAAAGCCATTTTGACAGTATGAAAAGAGTTTCTTCTAAGCACTTCACTCGGTTGTCCAAATACAAAGTAACTAGGATCGAATTAGGTTAGGCTGGGCGGGAGATACCCTGAATTAAAAATAAATAAATAAATAAAGTATTTCACTATATGTACCTGAGTTGATTGGTCTTCTCTGAAACTTCCTTGCTCAATCTGGCATGATTATTAGTATTCTCTAGCTACAAGGAACATCATTACAATCAATATCATATTTAATAGTTAATACAAAGGCTTTACACCTCTTTCTTCTTATTTTTTTGAATAAATTATGCTGTTAATCCCTCTAATTTGAGCCAAGTATCAATTTGGTATTCGCAGTTTCAATTTCATTAACTTAAATCCTACATTTTCAATTGTGTTTCAACGTCTCCCCGTAGCATTTTGGATGGAAAAAACGGCACATGCAAACTTAGAAGGATCAAAGTGAAATATAGAAGAACTATCGCAACCACTAGTGCAATTTATTCATTGTGAGAATTGCTAAAATTTCACGTGAGTCGCACTTTTTTTGGTACAAAATGCTAACAACAATTCACAGACTGACTACTTTGAAACACAATTGGCAGTGAGGTTTAAATTGATGAAATTGAAATTATCGGGACAAAGTGGAGTCTCTTTCAAACTCTAAGGACCAATGATGCAATTTACTCAAAAGGATTTCACAATGTTGGAGCTCGCTCCCCTATTTATGGGCCTCTTTTGGAAGTATGTGCTAGAATGCTTTGTGCAATTTCAACATACATTTTATAAGACAAAAATAATGTAACAAATTAGAAAAAACTCATTATTTGGCAGCTAAGGGATTGATGTTTCTAATTATTACTTTTTGATTATCAACTTTCAATTTGTAATTGCACAAAAGGAGGTAAAATGGAACATTTATGGCATTTTACTTTTTCCAAACGCGGAAAAGAAGGGCTTATTATAGTCACAATAGATGTTAAATAAAACATCAAATAAAATCCTCAAAACTCACTCTAAACTGGTCTTATAATATGGGAGAAAAAAAGTATTCAAATGCCTAAGAGCATGATAAACTATCATTTCAAAATGTCATAAAGAAAATGGAAAATGACTGTCTAGTGGAGAGTAGAAAAAAAAATTATAAATATATGAGAGTGCAAGTGATTCTTTGATGAGATAAAGGGCGTATCTAATGCACGAAACCCTTGCTTAAGCGAGGTCTGGGGAAGGGTTGATGTACGCAACCTTACCCCCGCAAACGGAGAGGCTATTTCTGCAATTCGAACCCGTAACCACCAGATCACCAAAGGATAACTTTACCACTACACTAGACCCCGCCCTTCTAATTCTATGATGAGATGCAAGTGAAAATTTGTGAGGTGCAAGTCTTAATTGCACCCCTCCATATTTCTCTAATTTTTTTTCCCTCTCCCCACTCCCTAAAGAAAACAATGGGATGAGTCATGTTCATGGGATGACCAATAGGAAACAAACATAACTAATAAAACATACTATACCTGCAGTTCGAGGGAAGGTTGGTCCATCTTTTCACTGTTATTAGCATGCACATTGTACTTTCTAAGTATATCTTTCATGCTTCAGGGAAAAAAAATACAAAAAAAAAAAAGAAAAAAAAAGAAGACAACAAAAACCAAAAAAAAAAAAGTTAGCATTAAATTAACTTATTACAGATTATATTTGCTTTATTATCTTAAACAAATTACACTCATCATCTCTATACTTCGGCTTTTGTATCATTTGAGTCTCTATAATTTAATTGACTCGATTTTTATCTTAAATTTATAATTTTGTCTCAATTTGATCTAATTGATTATAATTGTTAGTGTTTTTTTTTTTTAATGGAAAATGTGCACATATTGGCATTATCAATTGAAATTAACACAAAATCTAAAATTAATGGTCAAAATCGATGACAGGGACCAAAATAACACAAGAAACAAAATGTAGGGAGTACCGATATAATTTACATTATTAACTTTATAAGAAAGCATTTAAAACAACTGAATTTTCCTACAAGGCAGAAAAGCAAATGTAGAGTTTCAATGGTTTCATCCAAAAGTATAGTGATCAATAGAGATAACAATGATTATAAAGAGGCATGCTTTGTTAAACAACCTGCTATGACTTAAGTCTACAAAGATCTCAAGGATTAACCATGTACAATTAGAATCATTCAAGATTTCTCATTTACTTTGAAATTTCATTTAATAAATCTCTATAAAAAATTTTAACTCAGCAACAATTTGAATATAACACAAAATTACATGCAAGGCTCATGAAATTCAGTTGATGGACCATGCCAAAAAAATTGGGTGCGATTGAAATAAGAACATATGTAACCTAACCAAAAACTTCACAACAACAACAATGCATTTAATCAAACATAATCAAATGGAAACTTGGAATTGAAGGCCATGTGAACAGTTAGGCTACTCAAAGTAAAAGTAGACTTGCATCTACTAGGATTAGTGTGGAAGTGCAGGCATCTCATGAAATTCCAAAGACTTTTCTCCTTGATTTAGAATACAGCCATGACCTATATGAGATAAAAGTGAAACTTCTAGTGGATGCCGAAAAAGTATAGTATTTGTAAGTTATGTTACATGGGCTCTTCTGTTTCCTTCAAAATACCCGTCTCCATCAAGTATGACAATGATAAGGGTATGAAATGTGTCCGACATCTATTACCCAATTTAGACACTTGAATCTTCTAACGTTTTACAATGTTTGAAGAATAAGAAATTCACATTTGCTAGAAAATAAACATTTAACCTCTAACATATAGATGGGATAAAATTTTACATTTTTTTTTTTTCTAAATCTTATACAATTTCGAGTATATTTCTAAATCATTTACAACATCTTATCTAAGAATATTATATATGTGATATGAGCATTGCTATTCAACCAATTTTCAAGTCCAGTGATGTGACAATTAATCAAGATATTAAAGGCAACACTCTCTCTCATATCTTCTCCAGTCATCAACCAATCATATCACTTACACATCATTGTGTTTAAAAAATGGGTCTCTAGAAAATGAACTTCTATAATATTTTCCTATGTAGTATAAATGTGGGTTCGTAATGAATTCCCATACCTATATTATATTTTGGATACATATCCCAATATCTTAAAATAAAAATCTATAAAATTCCAACACTTGGGAACGCACTTGCACCCGATACTTTTACCCTTTTTTTTTTTTTTTTTTTTTTGAGCAGTGAAAAATAAATTATAGATGAAATTGTGAAACAAAGATATATCAATAAAAAGGAAGGGGGGGTTGCAAAAAATATCAAAATTAACTGACTCATCCCAACTAATTTGGCACCGGTAAGAAAGCCACATCATGTGTTAGCACAACCTAACAATAGAGAGTTGGTTAGGAACCAAGGAGAAAAAAAAATCACAAAGGACCAAGTCTAATTTGTTGCAGGTTGAGGACAGGATCATTAATGGAATAACTAGGAAACTTTGATTTTGCCTTGACCCATGTTAGGTTTTTATTCTTGGCAATCCTGTTTGACAAAACTCTTTTTAATTGTAATTTTGTTCAATCTTTGTATTTCAGTGAGGTTATGAGTTTTAGATGCGAATCCAACCCGAATTGTGCCGATGCAAAAGAGTTTGTGATGTTAATTCTTTCATGTTTGCCACTTCGCTGACTATGTCGAGAATCGAGCTACTCGAACAACTCGCGAGGGTCGAGGGGACAGCGTCCATTGGTGGGTCCAGGGCAGCACCCAGGCGGGGTCGAGGGGCAGCGCCCCCAAAGCAAAATGCAAAAATGCATTCGAAATTTCTTGTCTGCTCGAGCGGCCGTTTGTGTGCTCAAGCGGAGAATATTTGGTTCCAGGAGTTTGACATGTCTGCAAAAGTACTAGAAGTTGGGATTTTACGCTTGAGCAAACTTTCCTGCGCTCGAGTGAGGTCCGCTCGAGTGGCCATTCTTGCATTTAAGCGGAGATCGTGGAACAATTTGCTATAAAAGGTGCGGTTCAGTCAGATTTTAGGATACGACTTCTAGATCTTCTTCTTGGATATTAGGATTTATATCTGGAACTTATTTGCTAGTTTCTTTGATGTTTGAGTTTAAATCTAGTTTGAAAAGTATACATAAAAGGATTGTTTGTTTCGTTCAATACAAAAGAGAGTGTTGTTCTTCGGTGGATTCCGTAGAATTTAGGCCTGAAGCTTTGGTAGATTTCAGAGTGGCTCATTGTCGTGGATTCGACATCGGCGTTGTGGATTCAACGTTGGGCAAGACGATTCCAAAGTAAAGATCGTTGTGGAAGAGGCATATAGGGGTCAGTTCAATTCGGGCGTGGATTTGCTAGGTAATTGAGAGTGCACTTATGTAATTCCTTTAGTTTTCTTAGTGGATTGTTTTGTGACTTTTGCCCGTGATTTTTTTATCACAATTGGAGGTGCTCCAATTGTGATTTTTCCACATTAAAATCGTTGTGTCGATTTGTCTTGATTGTTTGATTGGAATTGTTATTTACTGCTTAAAAATTGATACATAATCACAAATCAATATTTAGGAAATTTCTAGATTTTTCAACCCATAAAGCAACTCTTGACTTAATGAGATCAGCAATGGATTACCAATTGGGCTGAATGTTCTGGAAAATCAGCTGGTTGCGAGCAATCCAAATTGACCATAAGATAGTAAACGAAATTGCCTCCCAAATGACCTTGTCTCTTTTCCGAATCCTAGCTCCTTGCCACCAATAAAATAAGGATTGAATGGATCCTGGAGTCACCCATTCGATGCCCCACCAATCAATGCAAGCCGCCCAAATTTTCCAAGAAAATGAGCAAAGAAGAAGAGCACGATCAACCGTTTCGATTTCAAGCACAATAAACCCTAAATCCGATACTTTTACCTAGGTCCATCTAAAATATTTTGCAGTCTTTTGTGAACACCACTTCTTCTTGCCCCCCTATCCTAATCCTCTAGGCTCATGTGATTCTTTAAGGGTTAAGGATAGTTAGGCTAAGATGCATACTCGTAGAAAGTCCTTCAATTGCAAAAGAAAAGGATAAATCATCTTGTAGTGTGGTATCTCTTTCTTCTTCATGTGGCAAAGATAAAAAGAAATTTGGACAAATTACGACGGTAGTCCCTGTACTTTACTCCTTGTATACTTTCATTTTAGTTCCTATACTTTCAATTGGTTCAATTTTAATACTAAATTATGATGGTCTCAATTTGGTCCAATTAATTACAACTCTTAACATTTTTTATAAAAAAATATGCACATAAGTGTCACGTATCATATTTTTAAGGGTAAAATTATAAACTTACTCAACTCGGTTATTTAACATTAACCAATTTAGTGATAATTTTCTTTACAAAACACCAACAATATTATTAATTAGACCAAATTCAAACAAAATTTAAAATTAAGCGTCAAAATTAAACCAATTAAAAGAATAGAAACCAAAATGACATAAGAGATAAAATATAGGATCACCGGTGTGATTTGCCCAAGAAAATTAGACAAGAAGTTATAAAACTTCAAGGTAGCAACGAAGAAAGCTGGTACAAGCTTCACGGTCAAGCCAAGCAAGTTTTCTGAAGGATTTGAGCATGAAAATTCAATACTCCAAAGCAATGGCAAGGAGGGGGTCGAAACAGCCCTCAGTGAGTTTTGATTATTTTCGTATTCACTCAAGATGTGAGAGGCATTTAAAAATAAAACAAAACCTTTACCTATCTAATTGTGAAGGATTTATGCTTTGTTTGTAGGTTAGATCTAGGTGGGAGGCATTTAAAACAAAAAAACAAACAAACAAACAAAACAAACAACTGCCTCAAGTCTTCTAAACAAAGCGACATTTCCTTAATTTGCTCCAATTAGTTTTTCATCACATCAGAACAACAATCCGCGACAAACGATTATGGCCTAATCAGTTGACGTGACCTTTATCTTTCATAATAATCATGAAACGAGACCAACACGATGCAACATGGACTTTTTGACACAATGAATCTTAAAAGGTAGAACATAGACACAGCAAAGCCATATTCCTCTTTGCACCAACAAATATTAAAGTCCTATATATTTGATCCCACACTAACATTTTTTTACTGATATAATTGTTACTCCTCTAGAATCATAAAGGGATGGATCTAACCATCCATGTAGAAGTACTTAGCAACTAGAAGTTGAATTGATTAATTTTCTAAACATTGCAAACCTCCACAAAGATATCCTCATCCAATCATCTTTATATAGTTCAAGCCACTTGTGAGTCTTTCAATACTTTCAAACTATTGTGGAATAAACCACACACAAACATAATAGCAAGAAAAATCAATCAAACCAAGAAAAACATGGCACACAAATTCACATAGTTCAGCAAAGATTGTCTATGTTCATGACTCCCATCAATTCACTATGCCGAAATAAGAGAAGAGTATAATACGACTACTAGTATAGACAACAATATATATCGTCACACTAATACTTTCAAAATAAGATGTTTATCATAAGCTAGGTTTAAACTTTGGGATGTCCTCAACTTTGAGGCAATCTTGGGGGTGGGTGCTTTTATTATTGTACTCATTTTGTTGACATTATAAATTTTCTTTTTTCCAATAAAAAATAAAAAGAGCTACACTAACACTGCTCCTAACTTCTAGTTAAAAGAAAAGGGAATAAAATTGAAAATAAAATAATATGTAACTATGTTGCAAAAATATTAAACTCAGTGTCTGGTTAGTGTATTTGTGTCCAATTCAAGTCAAAGTCTCCCTTGGCTTTTTTTTAATCAGCGAAAAAAAGACTTTATTGATAAAATTCAATTTACAATGAAACATTGAGACAAACACCAAAAAAGACAAGTGTAAAACACATCATAACAAGACTTTCCAATCCCAAGTAGTTTGGTACCAGCAAGTCCAATCATATAGTAACACTGAACCAAAGGTTGGTGAGGGACCAACCAAAACAAAAGAACCCCAAAAAACAACAAAACAAAATAAATCCTAATCCCCAGTTAGAGTTGTAATACTTTAGATTTCCAAATTGAGCCCTCTATCATGCATTGAGGCCTACACTGAAGAGAGGGACAATTAGCAAGTAGGTGCACCTTGAAGACAATCAAGTGCTAACCATGTGATACCTTTCCCAAAAGTCACATAAAGTGTGATTCTTTGGGGAGTGTTTATGCATTTATAATAAATAAAATATATTGTAACAAATTTTTTTGTTATTTAGTTGTAATATTTATGTTTAATGTCTACATTTTACTAGCATTTAAACTTTTAAATATAAGCATAGTAAATTCTCACTACAAAAGTACTAATTCATCACTAATAACATATTTTTTTACTGCTCTATCCTCTAAAGCTCAAATTGAAAGATCTATATTGGAATTTGTATGTTTGAGTGGTCCCAATAAACTTGGAATCACAATTCTATCTCAATGAAAACAAGATTTTGATAAGATTCTTAATTAGAACAGTGGAAACGTGGACGGAAATGTCACCCTATAAGAGCATCCTGCCACTAAGGTGTGATTAGGTGACATATATGGATATGATTTGGTTGTCCTCTTGTGTCAACCTAGTTGGGATGGATCGATCTAGCTATGATGCAATCTGCATTTGCCTTTTTTTCTTTATTAATGGTCATTCTTGTGTTTTGCATCAACAAAATTTTTATTTTTTTGGATGAAAAAAGAAGTGACATAAATGCTTTAGGCCATATAATAGAGGTCATAATTGCTATCTTTGGGGAAGCATACGTCAACAAAAGTTACAGAGGGTTTCAATATTTTTTTTTTTTGTTTTTTTAGTTACATCGAGGGTTTCAATCACCTAGCCACATTGCTTGTGATAGTGTATTCATTCTGATTTTTCACCCTCAACCCACAAAAAATTTCCACCAAACACATATTTTGTATCTGAAAATTTCTTGATGAGAAGCAATCTCTTTACTTGCTTTTTTTTGGGTAGGAAACAATCTCTTTACTTCCAAATCAACAAGGCTTCTCATTGTGGCTTTCTATTAAAAAGTTGAAACATATGCATTTATAGGAACAGCCAATAGCCCAAAGATGAGCTCAACTTTGTCTGTGCTTCTAAGTTGCTTCATACTTTTTGTGGTATAATTGGCATTCACTATCCATATTCACTTTCCATATTCTGAAAAATTATTAAACAATCTCAGAAAATTATGTAGCATTGCTCAAGTGATATTCCTGATAAATCAAAAAAAAATAGCAAAATACACTAGGTAAGTCATCCCTTATTTTTTAACTACCTAATTATTGAATTGTTATCACCAACTCATATAATCTAAATGCTATGTTGATCACCAATTCTGCTTTTGAGACCTCTTGCTTAAGGGTGAATCAAGCCTTTAGGACTCTCTAACATATTGTTTTTTGTTCTTTTTCTTAGATGATCTTTGTTTTGTTTTGAGGTTAAGATCTCTCCAACTTTTTTTGAATTTTTTCTTGGTGCTGGTATATGGTGATTTGCTGGCCTTTTCATGCCAATCTAGTTGGGAAGGGGTGATTTTGCCATGATGCTCCTTGTACCTTAATTGTGGTTTTCCTGGCTGGTGACATTAAGTGTATTGCATTGTAAATGTGGAGCAGTTAAGAGAAGACTGATAATTTTATGTCGCCTCAAGTTTGGTCGGACTCTCTTCTATCAGCGAGTCAAACATGTTTAAATATTTTCATTATAGGTAGGCAGTGACGGTCAAACAAATAATCTATTGTCTATTCTAATACCATATCGAATTGTTAGCCACCATCCCATCTAAAATTAGTATGATTGGTATCACTCTCATCAAAGTTGATTGCTTGTTCAATACTTCTACAAGCTTCATAAACTTTCCTTTGTGATCAATTCACTGAGAGGGGCCTTAGGGACTAATATTCTATGGTACCAATCACCAACAATTCAGTTCACTTGATGCTTACCCCTTCATTGATTTTCTTTACCTCCTTAGAGAGAATTATCATAAACTCTATGCCATTATCTTATGGTCACTTACCAAACTGGAACTTGATAATTTAACTTTGTTCTCAAATATTCGAAAAATGTTACACAAATTAACAAGTCGTAAAAACTTTTATTACTCAGTAATGTGGCATTAAACAATGAAATTTTAAAATATGAAATAAGAGTCACCTCAATTATGTGATAGGTAGCATGCAATAATAGAATTTTGAAATCCAAAACAAGACTCACTTCAATTATTATGAATAAAAAATTACAAATTATTATGATTTGTTAATATAACACTATTCTACATAATGATACTAGTCAATAAAAAAATACAAAAGAATTTAAATGAATACATAATGATACTAGTCAATAAAAAATTACAAACGAATTTAAATGAATACATCGTGTCTCCTACTAATCCAATCATATAATTTTCATTAGTATAATTTGAAAATTTTCATTAACTGATAATACTGCCATGTCATACGGCCATCATTACCAGGAATCTAATACACTTGTGTGCAATACTTGGATTAAAAATAAATAGTAAAATTCAACCAATGAAATTAAACAAACTTTGAAGGTAAAGGTTTTTATTAGGAATGACATGAAAAGAACAAAATTTATGTTCATATGATTGTAGAAGTTGTTTCATAAAAATTAAACATTCTTTTCAGCAAACAAAAAATTAGTTGCTACTTCAAACAAAACAAAGTTAAAAGATCTTTTGATGCACTTCTCTGGTGTCTTTATGGTATTGTATCAATAAAAATTTTATTTTTTGATAAAAAAGAAAAAGAAAAAGAAAAAGGAAAAGGAAAAGAAAAAAAAAAAAAAGAAAGACATCTTTTGAAATGATCAAGAAGATGGTTTATAAATTAGCGTGAGACACGAGGTTTTGCTGTTCTATGAAACATGGAGCTCACTTCATCCCTAATATCAGACCAGACCTCCATGACTCTCTCTCTCTCTCTCTCTACCTACATATGTATATACATACACATATATATCAAAGTATGTATAAACAGATCTCTTCTAATACATCAAAATACGTATCAGTATCAGCGATAAGATTATATATCGACTGACATCGAACAGTATGACTGATCTCTTTCTAATACAGCAAAATACGTATCAGTATGAGAGATAAAATTGTATATCGACTGACATCGAACAGTATAACTGATATATCGGTGAATCTAGATAGCAAATTAAGTAACCATATCCATACCTTGAGCTAGCATAATCGAAGAGCTTTCCGGTGGCGGAGAAGATGATGAGAGCAACATCAGCATCGCAAAGAACTGCGAGTTCTTCAGCTTTCTTGAAGAGCCCTCGTCTTCTCTTAGAGAAAGTCACTTGCCTCGCCGTAATGTTGTCGATTTTCTTGATCTTGATCTTCTCTCTCGCCATTCTCGATACCCTAACACAACATATCACAACATCAAAGCAAGTTTATAGAAGAACAAAGCATAAAACGTAATTAAAACAGTGAAAAAAAATATGAAAAAGGTGGGTTTTTTGGGTGAATTTTAACGGAGAGTACTGTGGAAGAAACCCTAGAAAAAGAAACCCAGAAACCCAGTTTAGATCTGATGAAGAAACCCAGAAAAACCCACCAATCGTTGCTCAAAAACATGCAAAACCCAAGAAAAGAAAGAAAGAGAAGGGTTAGAGATTGGTGGGTGATACTGTTCACCTTCTTGGAGTGCGAAAACAGATTTGAGGAGAGATGATGATGGAGGGGGTACTTACTGTTGATCAGAGCTACCACCAAAAGTCACCAATTAAAGAAGACTTTGGAGAGAGAAACTAGATAAAGAGAGACAGAGAGAGAGAAAGTGCGTGTTGGGGAAAAATCGTAGTTCAAGAAAGGAAAGTCCGCATTTCCCTAATATAGCAAAACAAGGCCTCCTTTATCAGTGGTTTGTACAATTTCCCTTAAAGAGTTGGGAAATATCCGAGCAGGAGAGGCCAAATATGAGAGCTTTCCCGACAATAAAAACCTGGGGAATGCAATATAATATATAATAATAGAATAATGTTAAATATTTTAAAATTTTTAATAAATGTGTTATATGAATATGAGACATATATCATATATCTTCTATGTGAATTTTACATTCATGTAAAATATTTGATAAAAATTTAAAAAAAAAATTAGAATCTAACATTTTTTATAATAATAGGCAAAAGTTGAGGACCTCAAAACATATTAAAAATAAATAAAAGGAGTTGTGAGGTGTGTGATGTAAATTTAATTGGGTGTGTGAATCAAGAATTATAGAGCTTGTTTAGTTTGATTTTTCAGAATTCTAGAAAATTGAAATTTGTTATTTTCACTAAAAATTTTTAATATTCTAATAAATATTTTTAATTTTTAGATACACCTAACATAAATATACTTAAAAAATATAATATTTGTGAAAAAAATCTTTAAAAAATTTACTAAATACCAAAAATACAAAAAAAAAACGAGAATTCAGTATATTTCTCATATTCTTGTGTATTTATTAGTTTTTTAAAATATTTTTTTTTACAAATATTTTACTTTTTATATACATCTAAGTAAGGTGAATCTAAAAAAGTAAAAAAAAAATTACTTAAAATTTTAAAAATATTCACTAAAAATAAAAAACTCAATTTTTAAAAAATTGAAACCGAACACAGTGAATGTTATATATTGAGAAGGATGATTTGGCACTATAATAAATTAGAGTGTTTTTTTTTTTTTTTTTAACTGAAAAAAAAAATGTGCTTTTTGGTGGTATCATTGCAACCTTTAGGCGTCGGTGTGTAGGTCAAATTACTCTAACCCAAAATAAATAACCCACCACTAAGATAAAAGAGGAATGGATCAACTCTCAACACAAGACGCAGAGTCACGATCAGAGTACAGTACAGTTAGCTTTACCGTATGAAAAACGGGCCGCTAATCGCGCCTCCCAAGAGTTGAGCCCTACTCACTTGTGTAGAAAGAAGACACCTTTCCACTCCACGACCACCCCAAGTGGTAAATCAAAGTAATGTTTGATCTACACAAAAATGCTAACCCAACTTGTCTGAATGAGCTGGCACACCATTTGCCCCAAACCCAACCCATGCTCATTTATTTTCCCTTTTTCCCCTCAAACTGTAAACAAAGCTCTCTCTCACAGCTCTCTTTCCTCTCAAACGGTCGCTGACGCTTCTCTCTCTCATCGACGCCCCCTGCTGACCACTAGAAAATATCTCTCTCTCTCTCTCTCTCTCTCTCTCACTCACACACACACACACACACACACACACACAGAGAGCTCTCTTTCCTCTCAAACGATCGCTGACGCTTCTCTCTCTCATTGGCGCCCACTCTCTCTCTCTCATAGCTCTCTTTCCTCTCAAACGGTCACTAATGCTTCTCTCTCTCATCGACGTCCACTGCCGACCACCACCAAATCTCTCTATTTCTCTCTCTCTCTCTCTCTCTCTCTCTCTCTCTCTCTCTCTACTCTCACATTAAAAGACACATACACATTGTATGGGCACAAAATAATCCTTCTTGTATAATCCTGTTGATCAAGCTTACACTCCTCCAAACGTCGTCGTCTTATTACCTGAAAACACAAACGTCAGCTAGCAGGCGGGTGTGTATCAGAAACCCCTCCGATGCCTAAGTCAACAAGCTAACAATAGACAAAAAGCTTTGTGTATTCGAGAGTCAAAATTGCAATACCTAGAAATAGGTTTTGTCATGAGCTTTTATAGACTCTACATGGCACAATCCTAGTAAGACTCTAACTCTCCTTAGCAGAGTCCTTATAGGAATCACATTCCCCAAGGATAATGTCTATCCTTGGAACACCCTCCTCACCAGAAGTCAAGTGAGATCGCAATATTTGGTTCAGCTGTTAATTGCTCGATCGAGTTACCTCATTCTGCTCTTTCTCTGGCCGAACCGTCCAAACAACCGACTAATGAGTTGCCAAGCTAAATCTAGCTTGGCCTTCCTCATTGAAGCCACCCTGGGCCGTTAAGAATCATACCTCGATAGCTAGGTTCAATCTCAAGCAACCCATCGTTGACCGACCTAGAGCTCTTGTGGCCCAAAACCGGGTTATCTAAGCCCTTACCTCAGCCCACTGTCTGGCTTAACTTTCCAAGACAATTTCACATAGCTCGGCTGAATTTGTCTACACAAATTACCTTCTCAATTGCTTCTTAATTCCTTCTGCAAAGTATGTTTGGGATTACTTTTCTCTAGCCCAGCCAAGAATGCTCAAACCAATCGATCTAGCAACATCTAAGTCAGTCGAGCTAAAAATATTGCTCGGTCTCCCAACCGGCTCAATTCTCAGAAGTCTTTTCAACTGCACAATACCTCCACCCATTACTCTGACACGATGTCCTTCCTAGGACACATGGCTTGCCCCTATTGCGTCCATACCTCTATTACAGCCGTCATGCACTTTTTTCCAGAATTTGAAACGACCGCACCTTTTTGTACTTCATACATATATGGTCTATATACTCGAAGGATCCGTTCACTGTTCATCTTCTTTATTGCAAAAACCTCGAGACCCATAGCTCTAGCCTCATGATTCTCGTCTCATATACCTAGATCCAAGCACATTCAATAGCATAATGAATTCACTGTCACTTGGAAACTCTTTTCAATTGCTTGGAATCCACTTCAGTTTCTCGAATTCGTAAGTTTCTCGAACCTTTTCACTATTTTCCGTTGATGTCCACACTATTCTTTAAGTTTTTAGCATCTTCAAGCCGTTAATCCATTATATAGATGTTGAAATACCATTTTAATGTTTTTATTCACTAAAACATGCTTATAAGAAGCTTAAAATTGCAATAATGCTTCTGTAAAAACTCTCTAGATTCCACACCCTAGAACGAACTCCCACTGACTAAAACTAAAACCGGTCAAGAGCCTTGATTTTGATCCAAAAAATCACTGTAACCGAACTAAAATCTTGTTTATACACATTTAAGTGATTACAACCGAGCTAGGAACCCTTCGTCTGGACTTGGTCGGGCTAAAACCTTGTATATAGTTTGAATCGGGCGAAGCCCTCGCCCATTTCCTCAGTCGATTTAAAACCTTGCTCTGGCGTTGGGCCGAACTGTAACTACTAGCTTATGACCGAGCTAAGCACCGCATGCACACACTATTGCCTTAGCCCGATTAACACTGGAGCATAACACATTTTCTTTGTCACTTTGCAGACTTGACTAGATTATCTAGGCACACTTACACTTCACTACCTGGCAGCGTTGCTCAACTGAGCTACCGTGAGCAAACAATTTACACCATGGGTAAATACTGTTTCATGGTGGGTTCGCCAGGTGCTATAACAGAATTTAGAAGGGAGTACCACATTCCAAACGATGTAAAATTCACCCTAGCCGAACAAAACACTATACCGTGGGGTAGATCTGGTTTTTGCCTCTTTACCGTGCTGTCGAGAGTCGAAGGTGGATTTTGATTTCCAATTCAACCATTAATTTGTGAATTCCTCAAGCAGATCAAGCTCTGCCCAACCCAAGTGTCTACTAACACCTACCAAATTATAAACGACATAGCTTAACTAAATCGTCATCTTGGTTTAAACTTGTGCTTGGCCGATATATTCCACCAGTACTCACTCGGTTAGAATGATGGCAGTTGGGTGTACTACCTTAAAGTCAAAAGAGGTCGAGAGAAAGTCGTCAAGCGTACACCAGACAAAGACTTGTACGACGATGATTTTCTTTGGGTCTCGGGTAATTATGAAGACCAAGAGGCCCAGATAGTGGACTATAACATAAATTGGAATAAAGGCATAGCTGGTATGAATAGCTTGGTCTTTTCTTTTTTGCACTTTCAATTCTCTCTGTCGTGCTAACCCTTGCTCTCTTTTGCAGATTTGAACCTACTCAAGGAGAACTATGCTTACGCCAATCAGGACGCTCTTTGTGTCGTGCTACGATACCGACATAGGGACTAGACCGAGCTCTTGAATTTCGAATCGATGTACTGATACAACGGTAAGTAGAAGAGCAAGGTTATAGACTTTCTTTTGGAGTCTTCACCTGAGCTAGACCCAACTCTCCCCTAAAATCAATCTCATCCCTCTTACCAAAGAACAAGAAATGGAAAAAAAGAGAGCCATCCAAGCTCTAACACCAAGCAGTAACGGCTGGTAGACAAAGAGAAGACCAAGCAGCTGGGAGCCGGGCTACCCAAAACCGACTATGTCCAAGAGGGTTGTCGTTCTGGCAATGCTACTCCCCTTGGTGTGGACCTCAACCGTAACCTACAAAGGCCTCCCTGTGACCACCTTTGATTCCATCTACACTAAGAAGGACCATCAGTTGGTCTTGAACCTAGCTAAGGGCCTCTGCTTACCAGCCGATATGGAGTGGCACGAGCAACTGACCGAGCTGAAGGTAATACAATCGCCAAGAAATCTCTCATTCTGGTAAGTTTCTAATTTGTCTGCTTTCTTTGATCTTTTTGCCCAGCCGTGTTTAACACACAATTGTGACTTGCAGATCGTGTAGAAGAACCACATTGGCCATAAACACGTGCTTAAACTCAGAAAGACTTATCGAGCAGTTATCTCTAATAGCGAAGCAAAAAAGGTTGAGTTGAAGGAGCTCAAGACCAGTCTAGACAAGCTAAATGATGAAAAAGAAAAGCTAGCCGAATTGGTCCACACGGTTGAAGCAGACAAATAAAAGGCTTTAGCAGAGAACAAGGACCGCTATCTGTGGGAGCTCACCAAACTAGAGAGCCAAAAATGCCAAAATAAAAGCTCTTAAGAAAAAGATGGAGGATGTTGAGTTTCAAAGTTACACTGAGAGTGAGCAGACCTACATCTAACAATGGAGGCAGCCAAGGATATCTTCTTCAAATGCAGCTAAAAAAAAAGTTCGGCCAG